AGAAGGAATGCGTGACACCTACAATATTCCCCTATTATTTTCTCGGAATTACTTTGCACCTCAACTATTTTCTCCCTCAGGTTATTTGAAATCACCTAAAAAAGAATTAAAAATTCAGTCATAAACACATTTGCAGACACACTCAACATTGTTTTTATTCAACTTTTGTGCTGCTTATAAAGCCTAACTCTTACAAAAAGAATAGCTAAATTGGTTCTGCTGTTTTAAACACACAATGCAATACCCAGAGTGGTTCTTAGCCGGAGGCATTATTGTAATCATTTGTGCAGGAACTTGTTTAAACCACTATAAGCATTGTAGTATATTGATTTAACCGTTCAAACCGCCTTAACATAGGGTCTGAGATGTTCTCCGTCCAGAGGTCAGTCACATTTAAATGCAACAACTTTTGTTGAATAACAGAACTAAACTTTTAACACCATGATGAAGAATAAAAAATAATCCAGCGAGGCTTTTATATAACTCATTCTATGCACTTTGAGTAAACCCAGTTGGCTTTGTTTTAAAATGCATCAGCATGCTCAAAACTTATGTCCAGATCAATCAGACTGATAAAAAAAGAAGATGCCTTAGATGAGACTTTTTTTTCCTGTAGTCATGATGTTACTGCTTCTGTAGCATAGTTTAGAACAAATGTATCAAAGGCAAGTTTTATTTTTAAACCACAACCAGAATGATATTCTTTAACTTGCCTGCCATTCTTCAAATAAATGTTTCATTTACTCCCTTTCATGACAGAGTTTTAAGCTATCATCTTATCATCTTATTGAAAAAGCTTTATGGGCAATCTTGTGATGCCTTATAGTTCAGTGTCCAGAGGACCGGAAATGATCCATATCAAATTTTAACTCTATTTCTTTTTTAAATTGACTGAATTATAGATATGTTTGCATGTACTAATAATGCTTATCTGTGGCAACCATTTTGAATTAGATTGTTAGCCTGATGTACCGTATTTTTCGGACTATAAGCCGCACGGACTATAAGCCGCACCCGCCATTTTTAAAAAAAAACCCGCGAACATTAACATATAAGCCGCACCGGACTATAAGCCCACCCCCAACATAAAAAATTTTTTTGGTAGCCTTCAACTTAA